TCCAAGAACACTTCACCTACAAGTGCGGGGCCATTTTACTAGAATTCTGTTGGAACGGAGGTGTCTTAAAACAGCTGCTGGCCTTTGTCTAATCCGGGCCAGCATGTTCATTCAGCTGTGCAAGGGCAGACCCCAAGTCGTAAATCCCTCGAATCCGGGAGCTAGACCTTTAACGCCTCTAGGGAGCCCAAGAAGCGGCCAGGACCAATACTTCTGCCAGTGCGATGTGTGATGGACACACGGGCTTCTTGGCGACACTTCTTGCAGCAACCCCCACTCCTGCTCAACCTTAAGAATTAGAGCGCTTGGGTACTGCCCGCCCCCCCTCCCCAGTAACAGTCTATATTAGGGGTCCTATTAAGGGCTATCTATAACCACATTATATTTATTATCCAACTGTTAGTGAGGGGGGGCAGTACCCAAATTCTAGCCTTAATTGTTTGTAGGGATGACTTAGAGTAGAGGCACCTTCGCACTCCCCAAAAAAGCAGAGCTTGACAAGGCCAGGCCACGAGCACCGAACTCCAAACTCCTCATCCCATCATCTGACTCGAATGTGTGTCTATGTATATATATATATCTATATATCATATTTGAATCATATATGTAGATATATGTACATCTACTTATATGCACAGACATTTATACATGTATACATACATGCATACATACATATGTAAGTAAATACTTTTTATACACTCTCATCCAAGCCCGTTTCCTGAAAGCAAGAGCTCTGAAAGAAATGGTATGTTTTCCCTAACGATCATGATCACTAACACTTCCAAAGCCAGTAAAGTATTTCGCTCTTCACTTCGCTCTTCTTTAATTCGCAGACGAGCGTAGTGAACGAAGCACAAGGAGCGAAGCACAAGGAACACAATGCTTTGACCGATTTCCGTTCCGTTCTGTGTCTCTTTCTTTCTTTGTTTATTTCTTTCTTTCTCCCTCTCTCTCTCTCTCTCTCTCCCTCTGTCGCTCTCGCCTACGACAGGTTGGTAAGATCTCATACCGCGGCACTTCCTTGAATCATGTGGACGGACCAGAAAGAGGCAATTGATGAAATGTGCCACTTTATCCGTTCCTAAGTCGTACAATATTCTGGATAGTTTCTAAAGTTTCAATCTCTAGAACAAATTGGAGTCCGCAACTCTTGTTCGTAGATATGAGGAGTGGGTAATGACATGTAGAAAGACACACGACGCATAGAAATAAGTGGAGCGACCAAAGGATCCTAAAGCCGAAGATTGCACAGTCACTTGTTCAGTCTTTCTGAAATCCTGTTTTTCAATGGGTAGCAGATGTTACTACGGGAAATCTCAGACAGAAAGGGAAATCTTAATTTTAGCATCCCACGTGATTGTTGTTCACATTTTTCCAGACGATCCATGCAACTAAGCCATTTTCAAGTTCATTTTATTTCTTACTCCTGACAGCTGGTTTTTTCACTCGTCTGTTCTTTGGCAAGAAATTTGTTTGAACAGAATTCAGAAACAAGTATGGAATAAACTTTCCCTTTTTATAGCTCCTTATCTGACAGTCGAATAAATTTGGTTTGGCATTGAAATCTGATAGTAGGTCTTACAGCAACTCCAAATACTGTTTTTTCAGGCTTTGGAAACATCTGTAATAACTGATGAAGAAAAGTCTGTTAACCTTAGCTGATGGGTTTGTGAGCCGAATACACTTAGGTAAGGCGCGAACGGACAAAATTCCTGCCCTTTCGCTGTTCAGGTGCGCGTGGCATTCATTGGCTTTATTTCTTTGTACCCTTTATTCATCATTTTTCATTACATTCTTTCCTTCCCTTGAGCTCATTCATTCACTAGTTCATTAAAGGAGTGAGTGAAGCAAAGACACATACGAACGCCTGACACGCATGAGTGTATACCCTTGACAGCCCAGAATTCAGTAACATCAGACCGCTGAGGACTGAGATCCACAGAGAAGGAAGTCCCAACAATCATTACATGGATGCGCAGTGCGGGCAAAAACAACCCCAGCACCTGCCTGGGTTTGGGGTTTAGGATGCTTCTCTGCATTACGTTGCCGTTAGCTTGTTTGGAACTCTCATCAGGCTTTGATGTTAGATGCTTCTTTAAGTGTTGAGACGCTGGGGTGGCCCCCATATTTTTTTTTTGGATTCAGCTGGAAGTTGCCCTTCCCGAAGCTACCTCTTAGATGCATCGTTATTGCCTATTGAACGATGAGTACTTTGCTAGCCCAATTTGATGGCAAACACATGTCGAATTTCAGCCAACCTGGCCTTCCGCTGAGCTTCATTGGCGCCTTGTGCTATCTTGTAGGAGCAGTCTCCTGGTATCGAGATCTAGGTTTGTGACTCTCTGCGTCACTCGCCGGCTGCATTTTCACTGCGCCCTCGTGCGTTCATCAAGAGGAGGGGCCCAGACAAACTTGGTTCGCCATGCAATCACTCGCCTCTAATGCGCGGCCACTGGAGCCGGCCGTCGCGCGGGTATGCCGAGAGGCCGGAGCCCGCGTTGCCCAAACCGTGCGAATCAGCAACATGAACATCGATGTGCCGTTCGCAGACGGGTGACAGATCGCAGTCGTCGCCAACGGCCTCCCGTTGTGGCATGGCTCCCAAACCGTCATCGGTGCCACCATCTTCTGCCCAGTCTTCCGCGCTGGGGGACCATATTCCCGGGCCGATGTCCAGCCGGGTTGGGCGGACGACAATGCAGCACGGCGCAAGCGTCGAGACACCTACCCTGAGCTTGCGCGCGCGGCGCGTGCGCGCCGCTGCGGCTTCGTCATTCTCGCTTTCGAAACAGGTGGCCGCTTCGGGCAGGAGGCGGCAGCCTTGCTGCAACGCGCTGCAGCCGTGCTGCCCATCTCCGGCTAGCGGACCAGGCAGCGTGGGTTGCCAGATCGGGCGCACTCCTGGCTGTCTCTGCCCAGAGCGCCTACACCAGCTCTCTGCTCGAGCTGCCCTTGGCTGGCGAGTGCAATGGGGCGCCTGGAAACGGCAGCCTGCTCGCGCTTCCTGCGCACATGACACACTGCCGACCCTTGATTCGAGAATGACACAGGCGGAAAAAGGTTCGAGGCAAAAAACAAAAAAACTTCTGGCCAATTGCAAGCAACGATTGTCTGCTGTATGTGGCGCAGTCACCTCCCGGATATCGACATTTGACAGTTGCAGGAAACGCATCGCTACGAGTCCAGCTGCGTGGTTACCCAGGGTGGCTTCTTATGATTTCTGTCAGGCACATCTGGTGGAGAATCGAGAGCCACTGTCGGGGTGGGGTTCCTAGTCTCGCCTCCGGCACGTCATTGCATTGTTAGCTTTTGTCAAGAAACGTCGCGGATGGCGTCTTTGAAGCCGCTGGTCCCCGGCGGCAAATGTTCCGTTTGATCACTTGTATGTCCCAGAAGTATACCCCTCCAGAATCCCATCTATAAAATGGGTAACCCGAGTCACCTGTAAAATGGGTTTGGTCATTCTAGAGGGGGTCATTTTGTAGAGGGACTGGTTTCCGAGAAGCCCAGGCTGGTCATTTTATTTTATACAGAAGTAATTTGGGTAGAATAGATCATTTTTCAGGTCATTGGGGTACATTGCAATTGTTAGTATATAAGGAAGTACCCCATTCTATAGACCACTTTTCCTATAAAATGGGGTGCTGAGCTATTAACAACACTCTGGAGGGGTATCCAGAAGTTGTGCCTGAAGCTGAAGCTTTGTCCTTCCATGCATGTTCATGTCGCATGCGTTCCTTGATGTTCAACCTGCATGGCTGCATGTTTGCTATGATTGCATTTTATTTTCCAACCACATGAGAATCGGAAGAAGCCGTCGATGAGCTGTACGATTTGTTGACACTTGTTGTCAACAGTTTTCCTCGAAAGGGGGTTGTGATAATCCGTGGCAATTTCAATGCAATGTGGGAGGTCCACAGGCTGGCGACGATGCAAATATTTGGGGTTGTGGGGGACACGGTCCAAGAAATGGGCGTGGTTCCAAGCTAATTGCGTGGGCTACCGGACATGGCTTGCAATTCTCAGATCGAATGAATGGCTAGCCAAGCACGGATTGCAGACAGCTGGACTTGTTGCCGGTCAATGGATGGATCTAAGGTTCAGGTCGATTTCATTTGGCATCAACATGTTTGGATGTACCCCGTGCATGGAATGACAACAGGATAGCTGTTGGGTTGGATCATAGATGTGTTCATTGCAACCTCGAATTTTTCAAGTCCGCTCAAACATTGGCAGCCGTTCACAGACAACGCTGGAAAACCTTCAATATTTCATGCCGCGGTGTCCCAGATGCTGCAGGGTTTGATGGCCAAAGATTGTTCCATCTTGGAAACATGTGTGCAGGATGTTGCGAGTTTGGGGGGCTCATGCAAGCAACCGTTTGTGCGGTTCCAGCCCTCAATGTGCCGCACACAGTTGCGCTTGCAGAGAAGGACGTGCCAGGAGACAGCAAGTTGAAAGGCGACAGTGGAAAGAACAAATGTTTGAATGCATTCTCAGAACTCCGACGAATTGGCGCCACTTGCATGCAGTCAACTCAGTGTTTGGTAAGAAAACACAGCAACATCCTCAACATGAATGATTTGCCAATTTCATCCAAGTTTTACTTGCAGTGTTGACCGAGCAACCAATCAGAAGCATCCACCGTTATCGATCCTGGGCCGCCGTATACCAATCACCGTGCCGCGGTTGGGATGTATGTTGTCGGCGCAACAATCCCACACACGAGATGTTGATTTTTATGTGCAGGCCACCGGCAAGGCAGTCTATGCAAACACATGCATTTTTTGCGACAAAATTCTTTCGTTGCAACACCGTTTGCGGTACATTGATGCATGTGAGCCCAGTCGCTTGTTATGCGGCAGGTCATCGCGCCCCAGACTTGATGCACTTGGCACTTCGGCGCCGCACGAGCCCGTTGTGGTGGTGAAGGCGCGCCAGGCTGCCGTGCCATCGTAGACAGTCTGGGGGACCATGCCCTGGCTTGCCCGCGCGCCGGACTACTGGCACGACGGGGGTTCGTCCTTGAGCGGGCCTGGATCCAAGTTGTCTGGGAGGCGATCAAGCCCAATGGCTGACCAACACCACAGCTCCCGAAGTCGCGGTCGACGACCGCCGCAGAACCCCGCCTGTGGCGGCTCCGTGCTGACGACGGCCTCTTTGGGGCTTCTTGCGGACATTCCGGCGCTGCGCAGTCGAGGCGCCGCGGCCACCCGCGAATGTTTCCAACAACGCCGATTGCGTTGCCGACGTGATGTAGCCGTCATGGCTGCGCTCAAAGCAACGGCCGCGGGCAGGGGCAGAGCCGAATCCAGAAAAGCCGTCAGAACGTTCACATGGTCGGTGTCTGTTGCGGCGACGGGCCTACGACCTTCATGGGCCTTCACATCCGCCACTGCATTGAGCAAGCGGGCGACGGCATGCGGGTCTGCCGCCGGCGGATGGCGCATCGCTGAGACACGAGCGGCCCAGCGGTCGCCCAAGCGGGTGCGAGGTCCAATCCCGCACCTCTTCTTCAGACAAGGAGCTCACGGCCGCATGCAAAAGTGGCACGTAGAGCCACCACAGCCGCTCCGGTGGAGGAGAGTGCGGTGGCTGCGCATTCGCACGGCGAAGGATTCTCGCCAGATGGTCCTGGTTGGGACGCCTCGCAAACCCGGACCTCCTTTCATGGATCATGGGCAAATTTTACTGCCGCCCCCGAGGCCCAAGAGTAAAGTACCCCGGCGTCGCCCCACTGCACGTGAGGGTCGCGTGGGCCAGGCTCTCCCTGCACGTCGCCGCCAAAGAAGCAGCCCACCACGAAGCTGACGAGGCCGCGGAGTAAGCCACGGCGCATGCCGACAGAATCTGTCCGATCACCACTGCTGACATGGCATGGAAAGCAGCTAGCCGTCCCTACCCTACCAGCCGGTCCGGGCCCCGCTGAGCTGGCTAGCCCAGGCCGCAGCAACCCACACAGCAATCGTTTCGCCGCTGCAAACGCAGCGCAGCTGCCCAAGCCTTGCACACCATCGCGCGTGCACCATCGCGCGTGCACCATCGCGCGTGCACCATCGCGCGTGCACCACCGCGCCCACACCAGGTGAGCCCGAAGACCCCGTGCATGGCGAAGTTGCGCCCGCACAGGCCGACGAGGCGACCCCGGGGTACTCACCGCTGGACGCGCCCACGCCTGACGCGGGTCAAGGAGCGGCTGGCCAATCAGACGCCGAGACTGACTGTCTCGGACACCTTGAGCATGCCATGACGCACTTCCAACGGTCAC